TTTCAGTCATTTTAAAAGCACATCCAAACGAACCCTAAAACACTATTGTGGATTCACAACCTATCATGTTCTATCTCACGTTTTGATACAACAAACATTTGACTGGACTCAAGTCCATTCATTTAGTCACAACCTATCCCATCTAGCGTACCAAACAGGACAGATGGCCCATATGCGGATAGTGAACAGCAACAGTTTCTTTCTCTTTGGTTTCTTAAAATGGTATGGTTTCTTTGCCTCGTGAATTATGATGTGCAAATGGGTCAGTGGGTGGAGATGTGTAGGAAACTATGCACACATGCTACTCTGTTTGTATTAGAGTTGTTGATATTTATCTTCTTGCGTCAAATTGTCAATGTGATGACCCATCCATCCAACCCAAACTATTCAAATTCCAACTCGCATTGCATTACCTTGGCCTTCAAATTTGATCAAACACCCCTAATTAAAATCTTGTCATGTACAAATCACTCCAAAAATATTCAAAAACTCCAAAAACTCTACTGTTTTAATTAATAAATCACGCTCTCATGCTGCAAAAAAACAATTTCCGCTTAAATCGAAGATCATCCTGGCTTATGAACTAAAGCTCTAATTACCGAAATTCACAAGCCGCGAGCCTAAGGTCTGAAGTTTAATTGGATGGGCAAAACACTTGTGGTCAAGCCTCAGATGCGCCTATAGTGCTTCTACAAGACAGGATACTTCCTTTGAAGCATATGGCCACAATGGTGAAAGTGCCACTACTTTCCCAATGATGATCAACGTTGGTGATACTAACTCTGCTGATACAATTTCATCTGCAACATCCTTCAGTTCTGCAAAAACCTGTATGAATGCACATGCAACAACGATCAATTCCATTAAATACATGAATTATGGAAATGGGCAAACTCACATGATCTGAATTCCTATCTGTATAAGAAAGGTCCTAAAATGATACAAATGTCAGGTAATCAGGTAAAGAAAAGACACCATCTGAAGTCCAACATGGTGCTATACCAATACACAACAGGAGACCATCCTTACCATGCGTTGTTGAGGTGTGGTCCCTCGCTCAACTGCAACAGCTGGTGTATTTGGCGATAGACCATGATGCACCAACTTTTGAGCCAGAGAAGGGAGAGTCGACAAACCCATGTAAACCACCAAGGTCGAATCAGGGTCAGCTGCATTCTCTGCCACAAACAGAGGATCTGTTCCTCCCTTCCTGGAGTGGCCGGTGAGAAATCTGACACTATTTGCGACACCTCGATGAGTTAACGGAATCCCTAGATTTGCTGCTATCCCTGAAGCAGCAGTAATACCTGAAAGGTAAAAAGATTTTGATCAAGTAGCTTGACCTTTTGAGAGAATAATCATGTCAAAGAAAACAATGGATGCACAATTTGGATAAGGGAAGAGAAAATTTGTTTCCAACAGACACAAACTATGAGTTCTTTAGGCCACAACCTAGATAGGAAAAAAGTTGTTCCTAGACTCCTAATATATAACATATTCATATGGATGAAGACTCACCTAAAATTCCCCCCCATCTTTCAATGTGTTAACTTGGCATTTTACTTTCCTCTTAACCATTCATTCCATCTTACAAGTTACAAGTGCTCCCAGCCAAAACTTTATACTTAATGGCCTATGTGTTAAAAAAAATTCAGGAATTAAGAAGCAAAGTGTACTAATCTCAATTTTCAGTCACCCTTTTGCATACGGAAGACTTCTCACCTATGATTTCCAACGAGGAAAAATTTTAAATGCCGATGAAGTGTCATAATTTTAAGGACTAACTGACAAAATAGAACATTTCTACAGGGATAGCATAGCTAATAATGTTCAGCTTTAGCATATCTTTGTGACTGCGGACCATCTTAAATTCTCTGAAATTAGATTACTGAAACTTTATCAATGTGTTGAGATGGCAATGTTGAACATTCTCTCTTCAAAAAGCAATGGGGAAACAATGTAGACATCTTATGTCCATGAGACATTCCACCATTCTTATAAAAATGTCAACTAAATAACGGCGCTACCACATTGATTTGTGATTGTACCTGGAATAACGTTAACTTCAATTCCTTGTTGCCGCAGAAAATCCATCTCCTCTCCACCCCTTCCAAACACCTAAAGAAAATCGATATGTTTTACAAGACGGAACATGATATCACAGGGAAAAACAGAAACAATTTTATGAAAGACCAATATAAAAACTCACCAGCGGATCCCCTCCTTTTAGCCTCACAACATTAGCTCCAGCTTCGGCAAAACTCAGTAACAATTCATGTATCTCCTCCTGAAAGAGGGGAAAACAAATTCAGTTCATTTCCTGAAATCCCAATTGAAAAGACCAAATTTTATGTAGCATCAGATCAAGTAAAGTTTTCGTAATTGACTTCACCAAAACTTTGAATCCCACAAACCCAGATGCAAACAAACACAAACGCAAATACCCAATTCACCAAATTGCACAAAGCTTTCAAATTTATTGTGACACAGAACCCATATATTCGAAACCCAATTTAAACTCAAAACAAAACAAAACAAAACAAAATTGGATTTTGGTTTCGGAAATGGAAATTAAGAAAGATGAGTGCTTGATTACCTGGGTTCTGCTATGGTACCCAGCAGTCTTGCCCACATAGAGGAGTCTAGCACCAGAGCCAACCAAATCTAAGACATCATTGGACACCAACCTATCATAGAGCAACAAATCAGCAGTCTGAATAACTCTGTAAGCCTTCATTGTCAGGAGCTCGGGGTCCCCAGGCCCCGTCCCCACCAAGAAGACATTCCCGGGCCCGCAGCCACCTCGATCACCTTCAGTCTGCCTCTTTTCTCTGAGCACCTGAAGCAGGTTCCTGAGCTCGGGTAGCTGCAAAGCGATGTCGTTTTCCCTCAAGGAATCAAAATCGGGCGGGAGAGAGCAGCAGGTAGTGGGTACTGGTTGGTCGGATTCTGAATGTTGGTTTTTGTAGAGCCAGTGGTCTCGCTGGTATCTCTCGATAGAAGCCTTCTCTGTAAAAGGTGAGGAGGAGGAGGAGGAGGAGGAATTGGAGGAAGTGAAGTTGAAGCGTAATGAAGAAATGGGATTGAAGGAGGAGGAGGAGGAGTGGGGTTTTCTGAAATGGGTGGAGGAAGAAGAGAAGGCAGAGAGAGACTGAATCCGACTCACAAGAGCCATAAGAAGAGAAGAAATGGCAAGGATTCAGAATTTCAGAGAGACAAAACTCCAACAACCAAAGAGAGAAAGAGAACAAGTGTTTTTGTTTTGCTGCGAGTTTGAGTTCTTCTCGTTATTTGTAAGTATTGAACGAGTGTTTGTGTTGGAGTTGGATTTGGAATTCGGCTGGTGGCTCTTAAAAGCACGACGAGTCCAAGTAGGTGGCTTTTTAGGGCTTTCAAAGGTCACTATTGCCGCCTCTCTTTTTCTTTGCTTTGTGCCTCTCTATTGCCACTGTTTGCTCCCTAAATTCATCATGGGCCTTGCGGGCATGCCGGAAATTTACTCAAACATGTTGGTGGGTGCGGACGTGCCACTACTAGATGTCATTAGTAGACGGGATCTGAATGATTAAGGATGCGTCTGAATTCAACTTCCAACCAAGAGATTGTGTCATTAAGTGGAAGTGACTCAAATCAAGGTTCTTTCTTTACCTTAAAGATAAGGACTTTACTTATATGAAGAGATGAAACAATATGTAAATGACAAGGTTGCTAGAAGTGCAACTGACAGAGGAAAGTAAATGACTGGTATTGTAGATTGCTTGTAATTTAAACAACTGAAAATGAGTTGTACATGAACTACAAAGGAGATCAATACTACTAGTGAGTAACAGAGCTAATAAACAAGGGAAGCAATGGATGCTTGGCTAAAGCTAAATGTCTACATGGAAGCTGATGAGCTGATTTGAGTAGAGTTGATTGATTGTTTGTTTGAGTGTCCATAATCCTTGTGCCTCTACTTCTTTATATAGAGATCTGAGAAAGTCCATTGCTGAGAACATTGCACTTGCCCGAAAGAAACTTCACTGCCAGCTTGCATGTGAAATGATATTAAAAAGGGCAACTTGTACTTCCACCACATGTTTTCACCACATGTCTCCATCACTTGCAATAAACTAATAATTAATAGAAGCAAGTTGGCTTCTTTCACATGTCCACAGTCCTTTGCAGGAATGTTTGTGTGTGTCTTTCCATCCACTTGCAATGAAAAAGTATGCATTTGTCTTGATTAAACAAATATATTGGCAAACCTCCACCACCCAAATAAAAGGGAAAAACAATATTATAATGTCAAACTACCCCACTTGCAGCTAAATATCTTTCAAAGTTAACTTTCTTGCACAATAATCTTTGAAATACCATATTTAGCCCGAATGACCTAAATGAGTAAAAATTGGTATATTTTAGGTGCAAACAGCCCCGTTATAGTTTTGTACTTTTGCTAATAAATTTGCCGATGATATGCATGCGCGTAAACGTGTACTATACACACATACGCATGTATTTTCAATAGTATTTTAGTTTGTTGCGCATGTCAACCCTTTAAAAACTTTTTTAAGATGTTAATGTAAGTCCCCAATAAAAGCACGTCTTCACATTCCATTTTCCATATGGCAACACCAACATTCCTAAGGTTGTTGCTTCTTCAGTCCCAACAAGCATTTCATGGGAAATAACCGACACAAAGCATTTCATTGAAAACAAGATATTGTTTTAATTCATTCTTCTCTGTTTCTTCCTCTCCCTCCCATCACCGTTCTTCATCCATCACTTTTCTCATATATATATATATATAGACACACACTTCCTATATCTCAAGCAAAAATCTGAAAAAATTAATACTGAACAAAATTGTCATCAAATGGTAAGTATTTAAGTTGTTTTCACTTCCAATATTTTGTTTTCATTCACTCTTCTTTATTTCTTCCCCTTCCTTCCACCACCTTTCTTACTTTTCCTCATATCTCAAGCGCAAAAAGTAAAATTAAAAACTAAAAACTAAATAGTTATCAAACAGACCCTTAAATTGCAACATAAGTACTCAGTTAACAACAAGCAATCGCTGACAAAAACAGCTAAGATTGCGATGAGTTACCAACTTACATCCTTCTTTTAAAGGCCGAGAACATGATAGTTCAAATTTGTTGCATGATCATCTAAATTGATTTAGTTGGTTTGCTAATAATTGCGGGACTTATAATTTAGAGACATGGGTAAGATTGCAAAATAACTAGAACCTCCTACTGATTGATGTATCAGCACCTTGTGGCTTTCTCCAGCCACCTTCAGCAGTCCTCTCAAATATGCGTGGCTGCTTCATGGGAAAGGTTTCTCTCCAATCTGGGTGTTTAATTAGGTAGTCCCATTGCCTGAATCAAGATTACCAAATTTAGTTAAAGCAATATCCGGAAATTAACATTATTCTATGGGATGAACATCATCCTATTTCTAGGAATTGCAATGTATACGAGTCTTGACCGATAGATTATGATTACACGGGCCAGAAACAAGAAAAACTTCAATGCATCTACTTGTGATCAACTTGCTGTGCAGTTCCTGTCAATCTTTTATTCTCTCTTCTTTTATCATGGGAAAATATCCTCTTTTCTTTCTTTATATTCAAATTCTTTTTCTGCATGTGTGTGATCACTGAGAACTTTAAGACGGGTCTACTTTCGATTGTGCATACCTTCTCATATTCTCCACAAAATCTGGGTTCTCAGCTGAGGGTGAAGTAGAACACATGAGGAGGATTTCTGAATCAGAGTAGTGTTGTAATGACAAAGCAAAATGTAACTGCTGCAGTGTCCTGCATGAATAGAAACGATATATGTGAGGTCAATGTTGCTGGCAAAGTTGAGCACGACTTTAAGAGAAGCAAAGATATGTTGCAGAGTAATTAAAAGTTGAAGGCATAATCGATGAAGTAACTCTTACCAGCAACATGGAGCTATCTTGAAATGATCAGTTTGAGTATCATATGTTTCTAGTAACTTTCCTTTCCAACTAGAGTCCTCATATGATACAGAAACTCGAATTCTCCTGACAACTTCATCAGGGCATCTTGAGGTTTTGTCAAAGATAGCTGGGGTAATAGATCCGGTGGAAGTTCCTATCTGAAATAGTGAAAAATATCTACAATGTGAAGGATTTAACAGAAGTTTCACTCACACACATTACACAACATTATAAACTTCACAGGTGAGCACACAAAAAATGGGAAGGTTTATCTCATTTTAAACTGACTTAAATGAACATAAGCCATACAACAAATTGATATTTAATTCACGGAGTTGAAGCTAACCATGAAACCGTTGAAGTTTGGGTACGCATTTCCCTCGGGATCCCTTCTAGTGTTATGCCCAAGAATGCATAGAGTACGTATATGGAATTTCTCCGGTCTCTTCCATAAAGTTTCAACAATTTTGGCACCTAAAGGGAAGGAATAACCATCCAAGTTTTCCTGACTTTCTGATCCAGTGTTGTAGTTACCATGCTGCACACAAAGTTCAATATTTTTCAGCTTGAAGTATCCTGTTTCTGAGTAGATAACTACACCTCTGGAAAATCAATAACAAAGTAGAGGATCCTGGAGCAAACATTAGTTGAAACATCTTCAAATCCACCAACTAGATGCACCTGCATTTTGTGAACATGAAATATTCCTTTATTTATGCTAGATTCTATGAGTCAATAAAAAGCATATAACCATTTAAGTCACAAAATCATTTTGGTTAGGAATAGTACATCTAACTCCATATCCGTGTTATGGTCAACAAGAAGTGACAACATTTGGGATAAACCCGTGTCCACAATGTTTGGAGAATCCATATGAGCAACTGAGGTCCTACAGTTTGAAAACAGAATGAGAAACAACAGTACTAGAGCACCAAAAGTTTCCTAACTTTAATCGCCAAATGGAATGGTAGATGACATGACAATGTCTTACTTGTTACAATGATAAGAGATCTAGAACCAGTCATATTTACCACTTCAATTGGAGTCCAAATTTTGGTGTTTGTTTTGGCCTCTATGGCATTTCTTGTTGAAAAAGTAGAACCAAATATGAAATTACTATTTGAAAACTGGTATGATCTAAACAATTATATCCCCAATAAATCCGTTTCTTACATTCCATTTCTCGGATTCCAGATGGCCACACCGATACAGGTTGTTGCTTCATCAGTTCCAACAAACTTTTAACGAGGAAGACCAAGAAGAAAAAATTGAAGTTAGCAAAGGAATAATTAGTAGTACTCTTGCTACTAAAACTACAATTGCAATGAAAGTGATCAGTTAATAGCTAGCAACCATTTCAGAAAAACCATCAACAATTACAATGACACTAGCTTTCATCCATCTCTTTAAGGCAGAAAATATGATAACTTTAAGAACTATAAAGATGCCATGAATAAATCATGAGATGACTTCCATTTTGCACAAGATAATAAGGAAGGCTATACTCGTAGCCATCAACCCATGTACTTTTTATTTTAGTTCACCATGCAGTCTCTATGTTATGTTGCACATTGCAACACAAGGATGCCTGAATTAAAGCTGAAAAGAGTAGCAGGACAGCTTTCAGCATGCAGGACTATCAAATGCCACTTTCCTCAAATGAAGGCCTTCAACATGCATAAGGTTCTTGGCCACCATGTTTCCACTAACAGTAGTTACTACAAAGTTCATATGGACAAGATGCTAACCCTTTTCTTTGAGTTCAATAGGCCTTTGAAATATAGCATGTTAACACTAGAAGAATGGTTCAATGGTTGTACTGGCATCATATACTAATAAGTGAACTAAGTAAAGAAAGGTTAAACTGATGTCTCTCCGCTGTATATGTGCAAGAAAAAGTTCATGCCACATGTTGACGAGTGTTTGCCTAAAGGAATAGTGAAAGACATACATCCACCAATGCCGGATCAACAGTTGCATATTCTCTCTGGAACAAATAAACCCATTTACTACGTGGCGATGTGTCCAGAACTGACTCTTCACGTACAGAGAATCTCCTCTCCGGGATAGCTTTGAACGAATTTGAGGCTTCTACCAAAGCAGGGTGTTCCAGTAGAGCAACCAGAGTATCCCGTCCCTGTTCACGAGCACAAGCTTGAAGTTCTATTATAAATGTATTGCAAGGAGTGCAGAAATATTTTATGGAAAATGTAAAGTAGAGGAATTTGAGCAAGCAAATTATCCGTCAGAAGACAATTCCAGATTCTGTTTCTCAAAAAATGTAGTTATTTGAAGTTTCGGTATACTTTATTATTATATGTATAAATAATGTATGTAAATCTAATAAACATAAACTTCGTTAGTACTCATCTTGCAGATTAAGGTGTTGCAACAAACAAACTAGAATTTTTAATTTAAAAATTTGTTTCATAAGTAATGGCATCAGAAACTTAGAGCATTGTGGAATTTGATAAAAAGATTGTATATTGATTTTGTGATTTACAATTACAAAGATACATGTATATATACATGAAGGAAAGCAGGAGAGTCAACAACTCCGCATAGTTACAGAACCAACCATAACTTACAACGGCTATGATTGATTAACAACCATGATCGAAGACAACTAGGTAGGGTGGTAACTACAAACCGCATCAGCTGGGTAAGGTGGTAACTAGAACCGCATCAGCTAGGTAAGGTGGTAACTACAACCCATACCGTAACCATCCAATAAGCATCAAATTTAGGCATTATAAATTATAATTGCAGATGAAATGCTGGATACAAATTTGAAATATCTACTTTTCACAAATTTAAATATTTCCATTAGTATCGCCTCAAGGAAGGCAAACAGTTGGGCAACTTTATAGTTTCTACTTTACTCTTTCCCACCACATTTTTTCTCATAAACCAAACACATATATACCAATATATCTATAGAGAGAGAGAGAGAGGGGGGAGGGAGTACCTGAGGCGATGCAGAAGAGTCTGTAGAAAAGGGAAGCCCATCAACAAAGATCATGATTTCACACAAACACACACAGAGAGACTCAGAGACGGAGAGGGTTGCTGACGGACAAAGTTGGAGTCTGACGACGATGACGACCAAGACTCGAAACTTAAGCAACTCAGTGAGAAGGCCTGAAACTTTGATCTCTCTTTTTTTATTTTTATATATTTTGGTAGTGAGTGGGGTGGGTGTGGACTTGAAAGTTGCTAGTTTGGGAGTCGGCTGACTTGGGCTTTCAAACTCATACCCCGCCTATGCTTTAACTGTGTGGCCCAATGCTCTCAAGTTCTAGATTTAAAACAAACTATTTTGTATTTGATACATGCATTATTCATTAATGTGGAGAGAAAGGAGCAAGATTTTAAACGAACTTGGCACCGTTACACCCCTAAACCCTACTTCAATAAAAAATATTTATTATAGCCAAGCCAACGATGGCATCAAAATTAAAAAATGTGGATGTGGCGAAATGCTCTCATTCATCAATATCGCTTGTAAAAATAAAAGATGATCTTGAATATGATACAAAGAACACAAGTGAAGGTTTTAAAATGAAATTTATGGTTCTAAATAAGAGAAATTCCAGGGCTGGCCATATGGACTACCTCATTCCTACAACTTACACAAAAAAAAACTTCACACCCTCTTTACCTAACAATGAGTCTTGCTTGGACAACTCGTATGGAGCGAGCGAGCTGACCGAAGAGCATCTTCCTAAGTAGGAAGGACAACAAATAAAAAATAAGATTGAACATCAAATTTTTGGTTAATCAGGTGTTTAATTGCGTTTAAGATTTGGTTGTCCCCCAAAACATTATAAAAAAGCAAATAAAGTTTTACCGCAGTGGAAAAATTTTTTTTGCTTATGTACTATAAGAGACACGGGTTTCGGACAACCAATTCGGGTTCATGCCAGGGCGCTCAACCATGGAGGCAATCTATCTCTTACGAAGATTGATGGAAAGATATAGAGATGGGAAAAAGGATTTACACATGGTCTTTATAGATTTGGAAAAAGCGTATGATAGGGTCCCAAGAGACATTCTTTGGAGGATTTTAGAGAATAAAGGAGTACGAGTAGCATATATCCAAGCTATACAGGATATGTATGAAGGAGCAAAGACTGCCGTAAGAACTCATGAAGGACAAACCGAAAGCTTCCCCATAACTGTAGGATTACATCAAGGCTCATCCTTAAGTCCTTACCTTTTTGCGTTGGTAATGGATGAGTTAACAGGACATATTCAAGATGATATTCCTTGGTGTATGCTTTTCGCAGACGATATAGTGTTGATAGATGAAACTCAGGAAGGGGTAAATGCAAAGCTTAACCTTTGGAGGGAAGTGTTGGAATCTAAAGGTCTTTGCCTAAGCCGATCAAAGACAGAATATATGGAGTGCAAGTTCAGTGCAAATGGAGGCCAAAACGAGTTAGGGGTGAGGATCGGAGATCAAGAAATACCAAAGAGCGACCGTTTTCGTTACCTAGGATCTATCTTGCAAAAGAACGGAGAATTAGATGGAGATCTCAACCATAGAATACAAGCTGGATGGATGAAGTGGAAGAGTGCATCCGGCGTGTTGTGTGACTGCCGTATGCCACTGAAGCTCAAGGGAAAATTTTATAGGACGGCAATAAGGCCGGCGATGCTGTATGGCACAGAATGTTGGGCGGTGAAGCATCAACACGTACACAAAATGGGTGTAGCGGAGATGAGGATGCTTCGTTGGATGTGTGGGCACACGAGAAAGGATAAGATTAGGAATGAGGATATCCGGGGTCAAGTAGGAGTAGCCGAAATTGAAGGAAAGATGAGAGAAAATCGGTTACGGTGGTTTGGACATGTGCAAAGAAGGCCTACTGACGCTCCGATTAGAAGATGCGACTATGGGATAGAGGTTCAGGGCCGAAGGGGTAGAGGAAGACCTAGGAAAACTTTGGAAGATACCCTAAGAAAAGACTTAGAGTACTTGGATCTAACGGAGGACATGACACAGGACATAACACAATGGCGTTCTAAGATTCATATAGCCGATCCCACTCAGTGACTTGGATTTTCCAAGTCTCCAACCGAGAAGTTTTCCTTACTCGGGAAATTAAGGGAACACTACCTCAACCTACATGCTCCACTCACAAAGCTTCAACATACAAGCTTCAACAAAAGAAAATTCAAAGAATAGCATTATTACTTGATGTTAAAACTTGTGAAGCTGGCAGCTCCCACTACCGTGCTATGACCAAGCAAGGTAAAGGAATAGCATTATTACTTGATGTTAGGGAGACTCCTATATATGTCGACCTCCATCCCCAACGGACAGGCAGACCTGCAAAAATGCTCAACCATTCCTCTTATCTGAGAGGGCACTCCCAACGAAGCCTTTCGAAATATTCAGCTTTCTTTCCCCCTGATAATACCTCTGTAAACAAGCTATACTAGAGCAAGAATATCTCATATCATCAGGGTTAAAAGCAAGAGTATCCCATATCATGCTTTTTCCCTGTCTTTTCCTTTGGCCTTGTTCTTACCTGCAAGACAAGGAGAAAGAGAGCAATCAGTCAGCACTTGGAATCAAGCTTCCAGCCAGGAACTGACTGCCTGGAACCCCTTACCTGATTACTTACCTGGCATTGCTCTCGAGTACTCATCTTCAACACCTTATACTTCCAGGGAAGATCCCGCATCTGCCTGAGGAACAGATAGGGCAAGTGAGAAGGATACAAGGAAGCATGTGGAGACAAGCGTAACAGCACACGTGCCGATACATCCATTACTCTGTCAAAAGCAAAAGTATCCCATATCAGCAGGGGCGAACGTACTCTAGATTTGATGGACTTGTTTTGACCCTCAAATTCTTCAGTCGGCCTTATCTCTGGAGGAAACCAGAAAACCCTCTAGCCCAGTTCAAGAATAGGCCTGTGGAAAGTTACTTTTTCAAAAGCAAAAGTATCCCATATCATCTCTTCTCATTTTTCTTCTCTTTATCCTTCATGCTGCCTGCAAGATAGGGAGAATGTGAACAATCAGCCGGAGCTCTGATTGCTTACCTTGTCTGTCACCTCTTTCAGCAGATCCCCTAGCTCGGCGACTTGGGGGACTCCTACTACATGGTTTGTATCGCGCTTGACCAAGCCTGAAATTACAAGTAAGCTTCAAGTGACATTGATACATTACCTTGTGCATCTCCACCAGTTATAGATACCACCCCTGGATGGAGGAAGAGTACTTCCAGAGAAGATGCCACATCTACCTATGAGGCAGATAAGGAAAGTCAAGACGATACCACACTCCAGTACTTAGAAGTTTCGTGGTTACGAGATCATTCTCCCACAATATTTCCTAATGTCATTTGTACTAAATCATTCACTTGTACTCACTAAAGGAGAGCTTGAACCTATGTACTTGTGTAAACCCTTCACAATTAATGAGAACTTCTCTATTCCGTGGACGTAGCCAATATGGGTGAACCACGTACATCTTGTGTTTGCTTTCCTATCTCTATCCATTTATATACTTATCCACACTAATGACCGGAGCAATCTAGCGAAGATCACAAAAAGTGACCGTTTTCGCTACCTAGGATCTATCTTGCAAGAGAACGGAGAATTAGATGGAGATCTCAACCATAGAATACAAGCTGGATGGATGAAGTGTAAGAGTGCATCCGGCGTGTTGTGTGACCGTCGTAGGCCACTGAAGCTCAAGGGAAAATTTTATAAGACGACAATAAGGCCAGCGATGTTGTATGGCACAGAATGTTGGGCGGTGAAGCATCAACACGTACACAAAATGGGTGTAGCGGAGATGAGGATGCTTCGTGGGATGTATGGGCACACGAGAAAGGATAAGATTGGGAATGAGGATATCCGAGGTAAAGTAGGAGTAGCCAAAATTGAAGGAAATATGAGAGAAAATCGGTCCCGGTGGTTTGGACATGTGCAAAGAAGGCCTACTGACGCTCCGGTTCGAAAATGTGACTACGGGACAGAGGTTCAGGGCCGAAGGGGTAGAGGAAGACCTAGGAAAACTTTGGAAGAGACCCTAAGAAAAGACTTGATTTTGGATCTAACGGAGGACATGACACAAAACCGAGCGCAATGGCGTTCTAGGATTCATATAGCCGACCCCACTTAGTGGGAAAAGGCTTTGTTGTTGTTGTTGTTGTACTATAATGTGGTTTGATCTCTATTGATTTTTCCCCTTAACAACTAACTATTTAGACAAACTAATGCTATCAATTGTCAAAACATCGTAAAGAACATGGAAACCCTACTAAAAATAGAGAGAAAATCAAAAGAAAATTGTATTTACTTAAAGATTAAGATAAAAGGATGTTTGAGAAGTGTGAATAGTTATTATATACAAATTGTGTGTATAAAGCAGTGGGGATCTTTCTTTAACATTCAAAAATTAAAAACCAAAGCGTACCAAAATTCCCAAATTTCCCCGCCACTGCCCGCAGACACCACCATGGCCATGGATCCCAACCACACCACTGCTTCAGCCGCCACGGCCACCGCCGGAGCCGCCGCCCCCAACACACCCACGACGAGGCCCGTAAGACCCGCCGTATCATCTCCTCTTCCTCCTAATCTTTACGCAGCCCAATCCCTCCAAATTCGGACCCAATCGCCATCATCATCACCATTAGCATCAGCAGCTGCTAATCATCAGGGGGTTCTGTACCCACTCGCTTCCTCAGGCCGAGGCTTCATTACCCGGCCCATTCGCCCCGCCGCCGCTGCAGGAGGCGAACCCCCTGTCACTGTGGCCAACGCAGGAACTTCGTACCCATCTCGGCCCCATCTCAATTTCCCTCCGCAGCAGCCTATTTCTGTGCATTTGATGAGACCCAACTACAGCTTAGCACCTTCTCCTCTTCCTCCTCCTATTAGGGGCCTTCCCCTTTCTTCTGCTGCTCCTGAGGTCTCGACTTTTCTCCTCTTTTTCGTTGGTTTAATTGATCTTTCGATGGTGTGCTTTTGATTCTACATTTTTTACATAGGTATTTATTCGTAGGGCGAACTACACACAAACACATAGTAAAGTTTTACTGTTTGGTAGTATTCTTTGACTCAAAGAAGCCTTTTTTTTCTTTGCGTAACATCTTGAAAACTTGTATTGGGGTGAATTTATTACG